GCCACAAAGGACCACCAGATTCTGTTTGCTATTCCTCAGTTCCTTCTTGAACAGCCCAGTTTAATCCCCAGTATCTGAATATATTTTGCTATTCTATACCTGTGGCCCCATTGAAGCCTTCTAGCTTCATAACAGAATCACCCAGCCATTGCTGAAATGATATAAAGCCTGTTCACCTTATTGTAATTTTGCCACATTCATGGTTGGATGACTCTAAAAGAGGGTAAGAGTTATTAATGACCTTGATGTCTCCATTCAGAAGACCAGGAATTCAGTGGGTTTCATTGGAACTTGTAAGATGATGGATGACGGGTTCAGCCATATTCACACAAAGCGTTCTCCTATGTAATGTGTCCACTGTGAAAATTGGATTGTTACTCTGTTAGGAATAACAAGGTTACCTAACGTAGTTTGGGTAAAATAATATATATAAACTATGATAGTAAGTTTAAGTGTGTGTCACTTTAAATGCAAAGCATGTAATTTTGGGTGCGGTTGTGAACCGCCATAAGGGGGAGCAAGAGAACCTGACGATTGCTGATTGATGGTTTGCTAACTGCGTGTTCCCTACTGCTGAGTTATTGAACGTCGAAGGAAGAAAGGAGGTTTGACTTCTTCATATCTCTACTGCAAGGAGATATATTACTGGACTGATATTTGTGAGTTTACTGACCTCTTTTTCAACACTGGACATTGCAACTGAATAATCCCCGGACGGACTGAACTAGTGAATGATATATGGACTGTTTTGACTATGCTAAAGCTATTACTGGAATAAACTATTTAACTAGCACAGTGTATCTGTTTTACTGAGTGTAAGCTACAAAACGTTTATCTCACATATTTTGCCTGCCTGCCTGACTGCCGTGCAGATTCTGCTAACATACTCTACTTCTTGTTGCTCACAAGAGTGCAGAGAAGAACAACAAAGATGATTAGGGGACTGGAAGCTAAAACATACAAAGAATGGTTGCTGGAGTTGGGTATGTCTAGTCTAGTGAAAGAAGGACCGGGGTGACATGATAACCATGTTCAATATCTCAGGGGCTGTCACAAAAAAGAGAGTGTCAAGCTATTCTCTAAAGCACCAGAGGGCAGGACAAGAAGCAATGGGTGGGAACTGATGGGTGGAAGCTGGCCTTCAGAAGTTGTGGGTGCTCCATCACTGAAGGTTTTTAAGGAAAGATTGGGCAACCATTTGTCTGAATGGTATAAGGTCTCCTGCTTAAACAGGGGGTTGGACTAGAAGACCTCAAAGGTCCCTTTCAATTCCATTATTCTGTTGTTGTTGTTTTAATTAATCCTGGAGAGTGTTCATCTCTGGTTTCTAATTTCACCTAGAATTCCTTAGCCTGGGTTATTAGTAAAACCTCTTGATGGAAATTCTTGTGGATTACTTATAACCATGGACAGGAACGTCCAAGAGAATAGCAAAGAGGGAAAAAGAAGGGACATTGTGATATCCCAACACCAAGCCCATCAATTTTGATACATGTATTTTGATATCACAACCAGCATATAAGCAGCATGATACAACCTGCATTCCATCATTCTGACAAAACCTCCAGATTCTAGACAGCATGGAGCACATATAGCGGTTTCATATGGTACGCTGCTTATATTTTCCACGTTCACACAAGGTATTACATAATATAGGGATGCCCTTAATCAGATCAGCTCTAAAACCAACACTCAACTTGGCTAGGGTTTTATGGCTTGGTTCAGGGGTGTCCAACCTTGGCACATTTAAAACTTGTGGACTTCAACTTCCAGAATTCCTCAATCAGCCATGCCGTATGGGGAATTCTGGGAGTTGAAGTCCTCAAGTCTTAAAGTTGCCCAAATTGGACGCCTCTACTCTGGAGAACAGCAAGGGTGGGAAAGGAAACAAACACATGGATCTGTAATGCTGAGAAAGGCGGAAGGAATGAAAAGAGGAGGATGACTGGTAGCAAGATGAATGGACTTCATTACAACTGCAATGGTTGCCATGTTGGATGGCCTAAAGGGCTAGTTTTGAGGACAGATCATTCTAGAAAGGATTGAATTAGTTGCTAAGACTCAATGTCAACTGGATAGCACTTTATCCCTATTAGCTAGGTCAATAATGGAGCTGAGATTTGACACAAAGTCTTCCATATGTATAATTGACACTACCTTTGTGCATCTTCGCTATATAATTTTGTATTCTTAAAATACCCTTTTCTGCACTGGTCTCCTGGGATTAATTTGACTGACTGACTAGGAGAGTTGCTTTCTTCTTTTTGTACAATCTGCATTTTTCCCCCTTATCTAATCAAACTTTGACTAGATGTCCCACATATTTATTTTTCCTTTCTGCTTGTTTGCAGCACCTTTGGCAAATATTGCATCCTCTCAGGTAAGCCAATGCAAGTGGCAGGTGGTGGTGGGGACAGCGAACAGAA